AAAACACAGGCCTGTCTCTTCTCGGCGAAACGGAGTCCATCCATTCCATCTGACTACGACTTTTCGAAATGTCTCCGTGCCGGTTAAAGACCATCTCGAGCTCTTGGGTCTGGCTGGACATCTCATCTAGCTTTAATTTCGGTCGCTACATCGAGTCCATTGTTAAAACCGCTGCCAAAAGACTTGGAATACTTTCTAAGGTCAGGCGATATTTTACATCTGAGCAGCTCCTTAACCTTTACCGAGACCAAGTTCGCTCCTGCTTGGAGTACTTTTGTCACTTTTGGGATGGATCTGCTCGGTATCAGCTGCACTAGACTAGGTGGAACACCGTGCGAAGAGACTCATAGGTAATGACGCTCTCGTTGAGACTAATATCCAGAGCCTTGATCACCGAAGACGTGTAGCTTGCCTCTCGGTGTTTTATTGATTACATTTCGGAGTGTGTGTGTGAGATCCGTAACAGGGCGATCAGTGCGACGTGCATATTTGACATCATTCCGGACCGAAAACACTTAAACCAAATTTGTGCTACTCTCACAGACACTGCACTAGGTCCATAACCATCACAATTTTGTTACATTTTTACCTGTTTTGTAGTAAAATTTTAAAATGCATCGAATTTCATAATTAGATTTACTCATCTGGACATCTTGACAGTAAGAAATACAAATGAAAATCACACATTTTTCTAATTTCAATTTGGAATTATCTTCTTTAAAATTTAAACTTTTTAATGATACCAATACCAGTCGGATACATAAGGTATAGCCAAAGTTAATACAAGTTCATACATACTATAATGCGAAAAGACTTTTTCTCCAACCTATTATGTATGGAACCGCGACTATATCGTTAGCATGTTTATTTACCGGCCAACGAAGGGGGCACGGCACAGCTAGTAAAGAAGTAGGTTGGTATAATATAAAAATCAATTAGTGTCCGCGTTAGCTTTCCTAAAATTCAAAAAGGCTGGACTTTAATATAGTTTCCTGTGTGTATTCAAATTGATTCCGGAGCGGTTAAGATTCCGATTTGGAACTGCTAGGTTGCGCTGTAGTAAGATAGGAATTTATGTGAATTCCTTCTAATTTTTATATGTGCATTCCTGGGCAGTTTACATAGGATAAACAGTTTTTTACGAACTAAACGACTGGGATGGACCGATTTCTGCCAAATTATTACTCTCTTCTTATTTGCGCGAGTTCAGACGTGGTTCGAACTGTTTAGATGTTGCTGTTAATCTTTCTTTCGACTCGACTTCACCCGTACTTAACATCAGGTGGTGTAATTTGCTTACCGCATTGAAATACATAATTAACTTACCTACTTGAATACTTATCGCAACATCAGCAACGTAGCGCAACATCCGCAAATAAGTAGGTAGGTACGAATAAAGTACTTCGTCATTTCCTGCTTACAAACAATTCTACATTTGATTCAGAAAAGTTTCATGTTTCTTTCATCAAACATTAATTATTTTGTAGTGAACACTACACACTTATAAGCACGTCCAATGTTTTATTTATGATTTGTGAGCAAGGACCTTCTAAATCACTGGCTGTGATAATAATAGGTAAAATAAAATGGTTGCCTGTAAAGTCGGTTTTACGGGCGAAGATTTTACGTGACAACGTCTTTTTCTCGGTAGAATATTTATTGATATGAATATAATTAAATTGCACAATAGGAACAAGGAATTGAATGAAAATAAGAATTGCACAAATTTTAACTATAGAAATATATTTTGTTTACTAAAACATTGTACATGTAAACTTAAACTTAACACTCATCAGAGAGACTCATCGTAACGTTACCGAGCGTTACACTTTTTCATAAGTGACTCCCAGCCGCAACCTAATTTAAGACGTTGTCACGTCAAAAACACAAAAAATAATACACTTAATGGATATTACAAATATATTTATTCAAATTAAGAACTGAACTATGAAATAAGGAAGATAAGCTGTGTCATTAAGGTAGTTACAAATAATTCAATTACAAATATTTCACAACTTTGCCGCCACTCATGATTAATAATAATTTTGACTAGTTCTTAGAACAAACAAATACCTACATTAACAAAAATGTCAAGATTATGCTTTTAAAGTTTTGTAGGTAGTTCCCTCCTTTTTAATTCAAGTCTAGCACCCATCTAGCTTTACAAATAATATAACGAGCACAATTTTATGATAATTTGGAACAAATAGTTATTTGATTTTTTTCTTACAAGTGTAGCACACACTGCTTCTTAATAAATGGTGACGGCATTTCTCCAATTCATCATTTTATTGAATGTTGTACGTATAAGACCACACAATAATAGCTTGTGATATATAGACTCTTCTCGAGACCACACAATCTTTTATAACATTACGCGGAGTCTGATTAATTTATCGCACGCTGCGCTTGACATTGTGTAGTCTAAATACGGCCTTTTTAATCCGCCCAAAAAGAAAAAGTTTCAGTATTTTTCCTGATCAAACTTTAAGTTGCCCAAACATGGGGCGAATTATTTCTTATCCATACCATGGCCAGTGTTAAATGAGAATAATAAAATGATAACAGTTAAAACTTTTCTATAACGATGTAAGAATACAAAATATTTATATACGAGCCTTTATCAAACGACTGTAAAAACACGGTGTGTTCGATATTTACAGGGTAAAGCTTAGTTTACATTTCGCACTGTATAAATGTTTTATGTTAGTACATTAGATTACTATTATTGTTCATTTCACTGTGATAATATCGGAGTTAACGGTAGTCCTAACTGTTTATTTTTGTATCGCCATAATATTATTACATTGTATATGAGTTATACATAGGTAATCATTGTTCCGTTTGGCCTTATGAGCTTTTGTAATAACGATAAATTGTTGATATTATAAACTTAAAAGTAATGTATTGTTTTGTGATTGCTAAAAAATAAAGAGTATGATATATGATCAAGTACAAAATCTGAAATTATAATATGAAACCTTGTTGGCAAGTTACTGCCTCTAAATATCACCTTTTGAGGACGCACGTTACAAAGGTTATTACTACAAAACAAACGGCAGATCCCTAGTTTGGTTAATGCTAGTTTAGCTCAACAGTTGTTTCATTTTTGTCGTTAAACTAAGGCCCGTACCATTTAACTGTTGTGGTTCTAAATATACATTATTCTGCTCCATGGACATATCACATGGAGTCGGTAGGGTGGCATCCCGTTTTGACTGCAACTTTTGAGTTAACTTAGTGGTAGGGCCATAGTTTGATTTATAAAAGATGTCAGAGCATTTCACAAAATTGTTAAAAAATATTTAATTTATCAAAATAATTCTACTGTGACACAGAGCGCGGAAGAAGACACGGAATGAGCAACTTTTTCACATCGGATTGGAGTAGGTATTGCGAAAGCTTCACACGTCAATTAATATTAGAGCACAGTCGAAGCGCTTTGTAGCGAATGTCAGAAACAGTAACATAGCAAATTCAGCTTTATCTCCGCAACGTAATGCATATATTCTGTCGTAAGCGCACGAATTTGCGCGTCATCTTTTTATCTCAGGAGGAATAATGTACATTACAGTGTGGAGATAATGGTGAATTTGCTTTGTAGCGTTTTTGAAATTCCGCTTCCACTCTGCGCTAGTATGATCGTTTTATGCTGTGTAAGCATAGCATGGCAACGGGCATATCCTTAACACAATAAAAGAACGTTAACATACAATATCTATGAGGTCTATCCCTATTCGAATGTCTATACATTAAACCCTCTAAATTTTCACACTATCTTCTAAACTATTACTTTGTATAAATTCTAACTACACAATTCTAATTGTAATCGAGTACTCTACAATTTTATTATTGTACATGAAAAACTAGCTACTGGGATATATTTTATCTATGACATAATTTAAGTAAAACAATATTTACAAAAATAGCCACTTTCATCAGTTTTGGATACAACTACTTAAATATTATAAAATTCATTCGACACCAATGAATATTTATTATAAATCAATAATTCAAGGAACTAAATGTCATTAAGAGATAATATTTTAAATAAAAATAAAGGAAAAACACAATATTGTCCCACTAAGTTTAAAATATATATTATGTGTTAATTAAACGATATTCATACATCAAATAGGTATGTATATAGAAAATATGCTACAAAGGTACAAATGCTACGTAGATAGAAAACTATTTATATAGTACAGTGGTTATCCTGTGGATAAGTTTATGATTACTTGCTGGCAATGACAGGATGCGATCCAGTTAGTAACGAAATAATCGTGTTAAGCGAGCGGGATCGTACAAAATCTGTTCATTTACATTAATTTGTCGTCACATATAAATGCAGTAGTGCAAAACATTTACTTTTGTTTTGTTTCCGTAAAATGGCGGGGAAAGATCATCATTATCTGTCTTCGCCATTTTACGGTTCTTTAAGGATTTATCCTCCAAGAATGTATCTTACCGTAGACAAAACTACCCTTTTATTTTTAACAGTGCGTATTTCATACCTTTTTCCGACTTTTATTAATGAGGAGGACGCAACACATTCTTTGGAATTCAATCAACCATCGAAGTTCCATTTTCGAAACACTCACTACTTACTCACTCTTTTTTAACTTTGTTAGTGTCGGTATTCATACTCATTATTCTTTCTGTCACTTCAAACCGCGGATGCGAATAAACTCTTTGGAATCAACCGGCGGAGTTCCATTTTCGAAATTCGAAGTCCTACTCTAGTTCCAGTTTTAGGGAATCGGCGAATCCCTATCGTTTTTTTTCCTTGAGTGTCGCGTCTAGTTCATCCGTGAGGTTATCCAGCATGTTGCCTATATCATTCAGCACCGCCACTGATTCCGTGCGTTTATCAGGATTGTCATGGTGATGGACAGGGGCGAGCGCAGGGGTTATTTCCGTCATTTCAAACCTCAAACGCGAAAGCGACAAATACTCATTGGAATTCAACCGGCGAATTTCGAAGTATATAGAAGCCAGTTTTAGGAATCGGCGAGTCCCTGTCGTTTCTCCTCCTCTAGCATCGCGTCCAATTCATCTGTGAGGTTGGCTAGCATATTGCCTATATCGTTGAGGACATCTACTGGTTCCGTGCTTTTATCTGAGTTGTCATGGTGATGGGTCGAAGCCGGGGAAGGGGTGGGGGGTTTCATATCCGCTCGGGGATGTGACAGGGGGTGGGGGGGTGCTCGGCCGTAGTCGCCAGTGTGGGGTCGGCCGCCTATCTGACTGCGGTTCTGCTTTATCGTGCCGGCGTTCTCGTTTGCGAACGGTATGCTGTCGGATTCGGTGCTCGAACTCGACTGTTGACAAATATCATTCACTTAGTTGAGAAAATCGAAGATGCAATGATGTTAGGGTATTCGGCCTGCGCAAGTTTCGCTATGGGACCAAGGACCAAAAATGTATTATCTCGAGCTCTGAAAGAGCACATTAAGCCGTTGGCGCGGCTGCATCTGCAGTCGTTAGCACCACTTGACCGCCACTAGACCCACTCGGTGGGACATAACCCATTCTCCCTATTTCTTTTATAGGGGGGACCTGGACTCTAGCAGTAGAGTCAGTAAACTAATGAGCTCACCTTAAAACTGGCATCGGATCCGGTCCTCAGTTTATCCTCGTCGTACCTCCTGGGCGGGGAATTCGGCGCCGGGGGAGGTGGTAGCAACCCCGTACTGTCCAAAGAAACTGACAGAGAATCCGAACTGGGATACGCCGGTAAACTCAAAGGCAAACTCTTCTCTGGGTGAATCTCCACTGTCGTCTGTCCGAAGCGGGTGAAAGGGGCATATTGTGAACTTTGCCTTTTAGGCGGTTCTGGAGGAGGTTTTCTAGCCACGTGAGGACTAGCGCCGTAAGCGACGCGTTGCAATCTCGCCGAGTACGCGATCTCATCGTAAGCGTAATCCGGCGACTTATCCCTATACGCGGGCGTAGCGGTAATCTTAGCTACTGGTCTTGGTCTCACTAAACCCCGCGGACGAGGCAATGTACCACCCCCCTCGTAAGAACTGTCGTTTGTAGGCGTTATGTCTCCATCGTCGTAGGATCTTCTCCATTGACCACCGCCGTAGTAGAAACCCGCTTCGGGGGAAAAAGTAGTATGCGAAGACCTTTCTGAGGGATCTTCGAGACTTTCTAGGGACTTGCCGCGCGGATGGCGTATCTGTTGGACATTTATAAGTGGATTTTAGCATTGTAGGTGTATAAAAAGTGGTAATCTGTTTGAGTTTAACCACAGACAAAGTAATTTGCACAGTAGACGCTTTGTAGGAATGCAAAATTGCTACTGCGCAGCGCAACCATTGTCCACGGTTTTGCTCAAGAAGTTTACCGGTGTGTATACACGGTTTTCGATGTTGAGTGTTAAAATTTAATGCTTCAAATTGTTTTTACATTTATATCAGATTTCAGCAAAGATGCAATAATTCATACGTACATAATTATAATAGTAAAATAGTCTCATTTTAAATACGTAAACATACAGAAAACATACATCGTTCGTATTCGAATAAAGCCTACCATGCCGATTCTTTGATGAGATAAATTTTGTCAGTAAATGTTTTTTAAATAGAAATTTATGTTAAATATATGTAAGTAGGTAATTAATTTAATATAAGTAGTTAAAAATACATGCTATTGCTGTTAAAAATCTTATCAGAATTATCGATCAACATTAGTATCAGAGTTAAATATATCTACACTAAAAACGCTACCGTGCATGCCAAAGATATCTAGCTGGTTACTAAACAAAAACTAGATACCTACACAAAGAGTGCAAAAACGAAACAACCATAGTGCACACACGAAAAAAGGAGAGAACTCTTTCAAAAACTTGTGCATTTCAAAGCCTGTGCTGCCGTGTGCCAAAGGAGTATGTTCATACCTGTATAGGAACCAAATCAGTGGTACAAAGGTTCGCCGAGAGCGCGTCAAAGTTTAGGTCGGGGGGCTTATGGTAACTCCTCGCGTGCCTCTCCCAATGCTGGTAATGCTCCCTCGGATATAAATCCTTTTTTATGTCCAAGGTGCGGATTGTGTTTTGGAAAGAAAAGAAAAAGAAAACATTCACATGCTGCTCTGGGCCGGTGTGGATGCGGCAGGTGACGCGGGTGGCGGGAAACAATTTTGCGACTCGCGGACAATGGGATTACATAAAGACTATGTGCAGGGATATGGGCCGGGAGCCTTGTTTTCTATTATACAGGCATTTTATGCCAAGTTTAGACACAGTTTCTCCAGAATATATTCCTATAAATGTATCTGTTGTTACAATATGTCTGTCCCAAAAATTTTTGTACAGTGGTTAGAATAAAATAAACATTATTATTTTTATGCAACTACATGTAACGACTGCATGAGTTCCAATATAGAGTTGAGATGACAAGACATACCTATTCCTGTTGGAAATCCGAGAACAAGGGGAAAAAGTTAAATGCTTTGATGAGGATCGAACAGGGATTGCATTGTATTGACATGACATGTAGAATTTAAAAGAGTATGCAGAGTTAAATATTTAACAAAATGTATGTTCAAGACATGTATATGAGCAACAGATGTATCATTATTAACAAGAGGTTTAACTTTAATAATCATACTAACTCTCACTATAAATGTAGCTTGCCTACGGAATAAATAAATATGTTATTGTTTATATTATCTCTTTAATATTATTATTGTATTTTATTAAAAAAAGTCGCAGAATTGTTTTACCAACCCACCACCGACAAAAATGGCGATGAATATAGACTTCTAAAAGTCTATGAAGAAGCGAAATGATAACGATATATGAACGCATCGGGAAATTATGAAAAATTTCGACATCACATCCGTTCTCTTTGCACCAATCACGTCCTTAGGACTGGACATCTTTTTCCCTCGTGTCCACAATGTGTTGGCAACAAAATGGATAGCTTTTGGACCTTTGACATTGATATAAAACAACTAAAGACTTTGGGGCTAAAAGGAAAAACTCAAAAAACTAGGTATATTTAGTTTAGTTAAAATTATTAAAAGCTAAGTTACGTTATAACGCTTTTTGTTAAGAAGCGCAGTTAGTATAATATATTGCAAGGAAAATTAATGTAGCCTGTCTATTTTCTTCTTTACTTTTGATAAACTTCAACGGTTTTGATGATTAATGGAGATGAATGTATGAGATGAATCAAATGTGATATAAAATAATGATAAAAAATAAAATAAAATTGTAGCAGTTAAAATCACGGAACACAGAAAGAGATGGGTAGAAGGGTCTTGTGGGCGGGGCAGACGCGCCACAGTTATGTGTGAGCAAGTGCTCATAAATTGACCAAAACTTGGTTCTGATCGCCCTTCTAACCTGTTTCTGAGTTCTGTGGTTAAAATCATAAAAACATTAAAAAATAATTTTGAAAAAAGAAAACATTAAATTTGAAGTGATGCTTTTGAAATAGTTTCGATTGACAGATAAACTTCTAACTTGCACTCTAATTAACAAGTACTTAAATTATTGATAGTGGACAAAATTTTGTTGAACACGATAGCTGGAAGAATATTTAAAGCACACATATTTTTGAACATTTAATCGAATTTAAAGAGAACTGATTCGTATTCTTAAAAAAAAAAATAAAAAAAAAACAAAGAAAACAGTTTAGAAAATTTGAATGCAGTTCTCTTATTCCTTTTTTGAATTCATCCACTGTCATAATTACGGAACTCCTATATGAAGGTCTAATCGTTATTCTAAAACATCACCACAAACGTAGGTCGTATCACGCTTTCAAAGTACTGACCTGTCCCGGTTGTATTCTCGTGAAGTCCAATGACCCCTGATTGCTGATACTTCTCTTTCCTGCTCTAATGTCTTTTACTCTCTTTATAGCAAGCAATATTTTCTTTTGATGGCCCAGCCGAACGATTCCCATATCTTCTAAATCCTGAAAATGATATAAAGTTTTGAAATAAGTAAAAAGGCTCAGTATGCTTATACCGAGAAGCGATTTCAAACTTTATTCAATGCCAATGTTGTTTATTTTGTCGGCACTTCATATGAATATTAACTTAAAACAGTTTCTTTTTTTCATTCCGTATAGTATAGATCATGGAGGTTAGAGAGAAGGAGAACGATCGCTGCAGAAAATAGTGTCCCAGAAATATGGACAAAATAAGTGAGGCGCTGCGATCGCTAAGTTGTCTTAATAAAAGCGGGCTGTTGTGCGCTAATTTGAAATGACCAATGCCGCGAAGAAAATTTGTATATTATTCAAATAACTTCATCTACTTGTACTCATAAACAGCTAACTTCACAGATACTACTAACAGACGGCAGCGCGGCTGGTGGTTAAAAAATGAACTATAAATTCTACAGATTTTCAGGGACAGGCGGGCTAATGCTTTAGCACGTAGCGATCGTTCTCCTTCTCTCCAACCTCCATGGTATAGATAAAGTATGACAACTATAACTTTCTGTCATGAATGACAAATAGTAAAAATATAGTCATGTGAACTTCTAGCATTAAAAGGAAGCTGGGATCCTTTAAAAGACGCGTGAAGAATCAACATGCAGGCCGGCAAGGTGAGGAAGGCTGGTGTGGCAGGTAGAACTGTTGTGCCAGCTATCTTCACGTCTGGACTTCACTGTCACTTAACATCAGGTGGGGTAGAGTCACTTGTCGGAACTACCTATAAAAAAATGAAAAGTACAAGCAAAAGAGATACAGTTAGACAAATAATGTTTTTTTGGATATACCAAATTGAGATGAATATCTTATTATTTCTAAGAAAACAGACGTTTTCTTTCACTTACCTCCCACGCTAATTGTGTGACGTCATGTACAGTGCGATACCCCTGAGCTACGAGCGCCGGTCCGTATTCCTCCAGCCTCAGTAGCCGTAGCCATTCCTCTAGTGAACCCTGAAATAACAACAACGAAAATCAGTCATAAAACAAAGAAAATAACGGATCTTACTTTCTGCTGATCTTTCAACTGGATATGTCGGAGCCATCTCTAGTTAATAAGACGCATATAGGTATACAACGCCAGAATCCAATTAAATGCAAAGGCCGATAGTTAGACTGGCCTTATAATATTAATTTATTTATGTCACGTAATTTTAAGTAAAGTAGCAGCCCGTCTCGTTAGGTGCGAATATCTAAACAGATTTCTTACTCCTTCTGAAAGTCCGCTAGACTTACCGGGATATAGTCCGGCAGATATTCAGGAACGTTCAGATTGACCAGCTCCACTTTGAGCCGTTTGCGGTGGTTTGTGTGGTGCTCGGGCGTCATGCGCGTGACAGTGGGCAGATCGTAGCCCTCATCCACGATAAGTTACGACTACGTACTGAGTTATAATAAATTCTTATTTGCAATGGAAATTTCCACAACTTGATGTCCCTATGGCACCTGTTATGTGCGTGGAGGTACTGTTACCCGATTCAATCCATCTAGAACAGAGATCTTACTTACGGGTATATAGTCCAGCAGGTTGTCAGGCACGTTCAGATTGGCCAGTCCGCTTTCAATCGTTTGCGGATGTTTAGCTTCTTGATGCCGACGGCAGTGAGGTCCTCGGGCGTCATGCGTTTGGTAGCCAGATTCAATCCATCCAGAACAGAGATCTTACTTACCGGTATATAATCCGGCAGGTTGTCAGGCACGTTCAGATTGGCCAGTTCTGCTTTCAATCGTTTGCGGTGGTTTGGCTTCTTGATGCCGACGGCGGTGAGGTCCTCGGGCGTCATGCGCGTGACAGTGGGCAGGTCGTAGCCCGCCTCCACGAACAAACGCGCGTATTCTTCCATCTGGAGATCTGCTAGCCACGCGTGGATTATATCAGGGTCCTGGAGAAAACAGATAATTGTAAAAGTCATTTGATTTGAATTGGGAGCTTAAAATTCTAAAGATAATTTAACAAAAAAAAAATCAGATGGATTTAGCTTTTTTCTAGTCACCACATTATCCGACATTTCGTTTACTGCACTTTGACTTGCGCTAACTTCATAGACGCCATTAAGTTAGCTTCTTACTTTTAGCCACTACGAAAGTTAAAATTCCATGATTGCAGACCACATTGCACCATCAAGCTTCGTAAGCGGATTACCATCAGAAAAATAGCAAGAAGGGAAGTAGAAAGCAAGCAATATTTGACGACCTTCGCGGCCGAGTGGTATACACGCCGGGTTTCGAGATCGCCTACTCAGAGGTGCCGGGTTCGAATTCCGGTAATGGCAAATGTTACTCCTCTCCACTCCCCTGTCTTTCTCACCCATTCGACCTCCCTGGCTGCATCTCGACGTGGCCTCGGATTCTGATTGGCCTACTCTAACAACTATCGAATCCTCTACAACACAAATTAACACAACCCATCATCAAGTATCCCATAACATAAGCTTTAGGGCTATATTTTCTGGTTGCGCAACCAAACAGACACCAGGTGAGTAACTCTCTATAGACCTGTATACATTTTGTCTGTAGCGGCGACTCGTTGCGGTTGCGTTGCCATGGTGTCCCGATGAATTATAGCCCTCACAGAGCTTTTTTTGGGTTTAGGCTAATTGGTGTGAGTGTGGAAAATCTACATTAAAATTTATTAATATACCGACCGGCAGTCCTTGCGTGATCATCGCCCGCACCCGGTCGGCGGTGTCGCCGCAGTGGCAGGCGGCGTGGTGGTGGTGCGGTACGCGGCCCGACGCGCGCCCGCTGTCCAGCGACGCGGACGAGTGCCGCGAGCCCGACCCTGAGCCCGCCGACCCTGATGATGAACCGGGACTGTCGCGACCTGGGCTCTGTGGGGGGAAAACGATAATTTCATTATTTTATTGTCTTGTCTTGTAAAGACCTTGGACTGACGCCAACGATATTAACTAACGCTCACTGTACGCTTTGGGAGAAAATCTGTCAATCTCTGTATTAATATAAAGAACGCCGTGAACGCCACGTCATGACTCTCCCTGGTACCGAAAGAGCATATGCGTTTATAGACGAATGGATAATGTTTTTGCTTTCGACTCTTTTCACTTATACTCGTATAAAAATATTCAAATTGTGGTTACGTTATGAATGTCAAATGCCTCACAGTGAATGTCCATATACCTTCATATTAATATCCTAGTCATTGCTGAGTGCTAGCTGGTGGTGGTAGTAGACTACAGCCTTGTGCGTGAGCGGCTGGGACGGTGGTGAGAATGTGAAGCCTCCTCCAGCTGGACTCTTGCTTAGACTCCCGCCTTACCTAACCTAACCATAGACAATGCCTCAAAGCGAACGTCTCAAAGTATATCTGCATAATATTGACTGGTCATCGCTTAGCGCTAGCTGGTTGTGGCAATAGACTGCGACTTTATCTGTCAGCGGTTGCGACGGTGCTGAGCAGATGAAGGTGCCTCCTCCAGCTGGACTCTTGCCCAGGCTGCCGCCTAACCTAACCTAAACATAGATAATGCCTCAAAGCGAATGTCTTTAAGTATACCTGGGTCATATCGATGCCCTGATCATCGCTGAGTGCTAGCTGGTGGTGGTAGTAGACTGCAGCCTTGTGCGTGAGCGGCTGCGACGGTGGTGGGAATGTAAAGGTGCCACCGCCAGCTGGACTTTTGCCCAGACTGCTACTGGCACCGCTGACTCCTGATACCCCTGACACAGTGCTGCCATAGTCTGAGTGGTCATCTGGAATTAAGAAAGGTACCTTTAAATCTCACATTTGACAATAGATAACAAATTGTTTAAATCTGCCATACTTTGACCTATACTCCTAAAGCCATACTCCAATAACGTAATTTAAATCAGTAACCAAACTATGCTGATTGGAAACAATATGATCAGTATGGTTGACAGCCTGTTGTGGGGATAAAAATTCCTCTAGATTCTATCCATTGAGTATTATATTGGCAACTCAGAAAAAATTTCCATTGTCGCTTTTATTATATTTTGCTTCTATCCAGTATGGCGATTACTATTTTCTTTATATGGAAGTAGGAAAATGATGTTATATAACATGAAGCTGGTTTCATACTACAGCAAAGTAAAGATGTGAATATTGTAGGTCAGCAGCATTTTTATAGAGAAAACAAGACAACTGAATTACGTTGCGTGCTGCTTGTTTTGGAAGTTACGGCTATCGTATCATCTCCAGATTATCTTTCGTTTCAGCAAGAACACAAGTGGAAACAAGGCGCCTACGACCCTCAGGCTATAAGCTGTAGGAACTAAATGTTCGGTCGGAGATACATGTAATAAATATTGATGGAGTATTACTAAACCAATTTTTGTATATCTTTATTTTTTACTCTTTCCCAGGTTGGTTCGTGGATTGATTAACAAACGCTTTTTAACTGATCTTAAGGCTATTTTTATAGTGTACACACACACTAATAATTGCCCTGCGAGGCTAAGCTGGAATCCCAGTGCCTGTGTTGGGGCGTGCTAAACGCGTCGCCTAGCACGGCGGGTGGTAGCACTAGCTTCGCGGTGGCAGTCTTGCGGTTTGTAATGTTCCTACGAAACGCCTGAGACGTAACCACGAGAGTTAAAGCCCAAGTCTTGATTTTGCAGAAGATGCAGATGCTCCAGATAAATAAGGGCTTTTGGAAAATAAGATAGGAACATTGTCATCCTTACCTCTAGTGTGCGATGGTGTGTCTGGCGGCTGCGGGTACGGCTGTTCCTCGCACGAGGCGTAGCCCTGCGAGCCGAAGCTGGAGCCCGAGTGCCTGTGTTGGGGCGTGCCAAACGCGTCGCCAGGCACGGCGGGCGGCGGCACTCGCTTCGCGGTGGCAGTTTTGCCGGCGCCGCTGCCGCCGCGTGACATTCCGCCCACTGGAAATTAATAATGAGACATCAGTCATCAACATTAGACACACAGAATTGGCTATTTGATTGGAATACGCAATAAGATTATCTCGGGAGATGTGACCTCAAAAATGATGACGAGTTGTAGTGGTTTGGTCATGTGTGTTTGCCTCTGAAATGCAAAGAAAGACTATATCAGGTGCAGTGACCTCAAAGATGATGATAAGTTATAATGTCAAAAAAGTCCAGGGTTTTCTAAAGTGCTGAGGTCAAAAATATCTAAAATGTGTCTTTAATCACACTAAAGTCTAATTACTTTTATCATCTGTCTGATTCATACCGAAAATGAACAAGTTTTAGATCAGGCACTGACTGAAAATAATGTACCTATCTTCAACACACACAATTTTTTGTAGTTTCGTAATTTTGAATGATTCAGTACAATAAATCCAGTACAACTTATCTCGAGAGAGACTTATCATAATTTCCCACATACAGCCCTCTATAAGCTGCAAACGAGTATTACCAGCTCATATATCTTTATCAGCGGCGTGGCAGGCGTCTGTAATCTCATCGGGAGCAGCAACTTTCGCGGCCGTGATTGTTGATAAGGAGACAGGGGTCCTCCCCCTGTTTCGGTAATGAGCCGGCGCTTCATCAATCATGTTCGACGATCGGACGGGTGATCCGATTCGAGAACTAATTGCCGAATCGATAACACCCACTAGCAAGTGGCCGAGAAAAATCGCTCATTAATTTAACGGGCCGCGCCCTGCAAACCTCTGACCGTGTAAACGAGTTTAAGCGGGAGGATGAAGTCGGTGTTCATGAGTGAACAATTCGCGTTCATGCCCGACTATTCTTTACTGTAAACAAGGGAATAATTTTAAAGATGTTTTTTTACACTCAAATCGACTGTTACAAACTTCTCTAAAGTATTTGTTTTTGATCAAAATTTGATTTATATTTTGTGGAAGGCGTAATGATCGGTAAACAGACTTGAGAGAAAAAATCGTATTTAAAACGGTAGGTGGTCAACCGAACTTTGACGGTGTAAAGATTTATTAATATTAATTTTATACCATGGTCTTAAAATGACAACAGCTCTCAGGATGAAAATGTATGTATTCGATTACTTGCACGCAATCAACGGAATATTTAGGAACCAATTATGATATTTCATCAATAAAGCATTGAGGCATGTTTAAAGCGTTCGATTTTTTTTATAACTGCTGCTGATTACCCGAATTGAGTCATACAGTTTCATAATTTTGATACCGGTTTTATTAAAAAATAGCTGATAAAGGACCACTATTGTACACGTAACGCTATTTTGTACATTGAAAAGAAGCTCGCGAAAGTATGAGCCTGGAATAAGTATGGCTCAGGCTCTAATTTTCTTGGTCAGATTTTCCTATGCTATAATTTGATTTATGATATTATTAATAGAACCACATTGAAGCTAGAACCACAACAATAGAGTCTAGGTTTTGCTATAGGTTCACATTTTAATTCAGTTATTTAAATATTCTGAAAAAGAAAGAAGTTAAGAACCTAGTGGATAGATTTCTAAAAAAATCCAAGAAAATCATGATTTCATGGAGTCCAGACATACGCACTATTTAATTCAAGTCTTGTTGATACTTATTTTTAAAAAATGGGCTGGTAATGGGGGAGAATGAATAGGGATAATTCCCATCCACACAGTTTTCATTAAAAACCATTGAAACGTTCCAAGACATGCTTCACCAACGATGTTTACAAAGTAACTTTGCAAAAACGTCCCGTCATCATCATACACCTTTTTAAAGCCCAAAAAATATTACCCTGCTTGTCAACGCGAATCATGGGCAAGTAGCTTAAGTGCACATTAAATAAAAAGGTCGAATTTTCGGCGTGTTCTCTCCAAAAGCACCAAATTGGGGTGCCATAATATCCCCTTAAAGCCAGGCAGGTGTCACAGAACGTTAAGTTTCACATCTTAGCTCATAATCCGGCAAACATTGCCAGCTACTTTCTTTTATCACCTGCCTAATAGCTCCTTTTAGTGATGTGCTGAAAATACGGGTCAGCCGTTAAGATTTCGTGTTGGCGGTACTTAAGTTTTTAAGCACAACTCTCGAATACATATCTCAGATAAGTTTGAAGAGAACACTACGAGTATACTACTTCTCAGTTTAGATCAAGGTTTCTTAGTGAAGATTTAGTAGATTACGAACTCGGATTTTCTTTTTTCACAAGTACATTATAATGTTGATGAGTAGGATAGCTGTAGTTTTCTGCTTCTTCAGCTGTCTGCGCGACTGGACTGCACTTTCACTTAACACCAGGTAAGATGGGGAATTTGCTACGTTCCGGGAAAAGGTCAAATTCGGAATGTGGCGTTTTTGCGTTGTAACATGATTCCCTATATGCCACAAGGATTACATGGTGAGAAACGTGTAAGTAACAAGTATGCCTCGTTACAGGGATTTCCTCAACGTCCGCTCAATTTGATAGATGGCTTAAAAAGAGTAATGCTACCATCTCAAGGATAAAGACGATGCTTTACAACATGTATTATTCGGATGATGAAAATTAAAAGGCACGTTTTTATATCATAATTTGACAACCGAACGAATTAAGCGTTTACTCTATTTTGGAAACTGTTAAAGATAAAGCAACGTTAAGAAGAATCTGATAACTATATTGACTTAATTTTAGTAATAAGCAGAGTATGAAATATATTTTCGTTAATTATATTTATAGCCTATTAATTATAGGTCATCAACAGCCTATTCTAGTCCACTGCTGGACATAGGCCTCTCCAATTGAACGCCACTCAGATCGATCTTGGGCTACTCGCATCCAGCTCTTGCCAGCCACCTTGCGCAAATCGTCACTCCATCGTGCCCGAGGACGTCCTACACTACGTTTGCCTAGACGCGGTCTCCACTCCAGAACTCGTCTATCCCAACGGTCATCAGTTCTTCGGCAAATATGGTCAGCCCACTGCCACTTCAACTTGCTAATCCGCGGGGCTATGTCGATAACTCTGGTTTTCTGTCGGATTACCTCATTATTTCTGATGCGATCCTTCAGAGAAACGCCGAGCATAGCCCTTTCCATAGCGCGCTGAGCAACTTTGAACTTGTAGACCAGCTGTACCGTCAGTGTTCACGTCTCGGCTCCGTATGTCATCACAGGTAGGCCTCACTGATTGAAGACTTTCGTCTTTAGGCACTGGGGGATCGACGATGTCAGGACTTGACGTAGCTTCCCAAACGCTGCCCAACCCAGCTGAATTCTTCTATTCACTCACCTCGTCCTCAAAGTTGTTTCTACCTCATTGCAATGTCTGCCCGAGGTATACATATTTTTGAACAACTTCGAGAACGGCACTGTGTATTGCAATCGGTTCCGGTAGAACATGTTCATTGAACATGACCTTGGTTTTATCCAAGTTCATCCGTAGGTCGATGCATATAGAAGAGTCAGCCAGTTCCAATTTCGGGGAAATAACGTCCCCTTGTCTCACTCCACGATGCAACGGTACTTGGACAGACATGGTGGCGGCTTCGTAGAGACATCTAATCACTTGGATGTATCGCTAGTCGACTTGGTCAACAACTTGCTTACTGATCTCTTGGTTTAGAGTCCGCTTTGCCGACGAAGTGACGGATGGATTTTCACGTCGTGCCTTCATTAGCCATAAAGTCTCTTACGAATGCTTTGACTTCCTGCCCTTACGCTGCGTTGCACATAATCTCGTACCCTCTTCCCTGAGGATCCGATTAATTATAGGTATTTCATTGTATTTAACTCTGATGACTGTCATTTTATTGGCTGGGTATCAGTTACACAGCTGCAGAATGTAAGTTAAACGTGTAAAAAAGGATACCCATCTGGTAGCCTTTATCTCAAAAATCAGAATAGTTGTTACTATCAAAATGCATAATTTAAGTATTCTAAGTATCAATTGTAAATAATGATTGATAGTTGTGTATGTTTTATCAACCTTATTTTAAGTTTCACACACTTTTCGCCGGGTATTAAGACCAATACATTTACATTCCTATTTTTTAAATTAAACGAAATTCTAGATATCGATATTGCTGTTTTCTATAATAAGAACAAGCAAAAACCGCTGCCACTTAATGAAAATTGTTAATCTAACAAATCGCTAAAATTACTATAAAACAGAATATTGCGACTGTTTCGTTTATGCAACAAGTGATTTTAAATGCTGATCAGTAATTTATTATATCGAAGCTCAACAATTCTGAGATCTGTATCGTCGATAGGAAGTAATAAAGATTAATTTTGTTCAATTATATCTTTAGCGTGCAAGGCGACGTTTTATAAAGAGCTTTGAGTGCCATTATAGCTATTGGCACAACACTTTATCTGTTCAATCAAACCCACATACAGATCCTGATCTTGACACGGCCGGTGTTTAATATAATAGCTGATAAACACAGTAGTGTTAATACCCTGATCTATTAATTATTGGTCATTACAACTGGCACAAACTTACTTTTACACTTGTAATAGAGCCTGTACGATGGTTCCGTGCCGTGGAGCGATTGTGGTGATTAATTTGATACTAATGTTGCATACAGGCAGCGCCATCTCGAGGCGTCGGTTTGATTCAATTAGCGATATCAGCGCAGGCGCAGGCCTTACTCTATTGACATTCTCCACGTTGTCCACCACTATTAAGCGCAATTATGCGGCGCCAACGGCTTATTCTTGGCCGTATACATTATTGTATGTTGATGCATAATCGTGTTTGGCATGAGATGAAAATGATAATTTAAAGTTCTTCGTAAGGTATCATTCGGAGTTTGTTTCTCACGAGAAAAGTTTTCTTGCTGCTGTTTTTGAATCTCCTTTAATCTGATTACGCAAGATCAATTGTTTGTTCTAAATTTGGCTTAGCAATTTTCTAGACAATGTGATTGGCATGTTTTAGAACTTTTATATGAGTTTTACAATTACTTTGTTATATAGTTAACTACTATGTAACTAGTCAAGCTGATATTATGTC